ATACTAACCATCCCATATTGAGCTGTATAAGGCGCTGGCGGATGACCTACTGGCGTCTGGAAAAGAAATCATAGCTACATTGTCAAACGGCCCTACATAATAAAGCATATGTAAATACAGGTACAATTTAAGGTACCAACCACGATTATTGGCTCTCCTGTTTGCCTTAGCGCCGGGCTATTTTCTGTTTTGTATTCTGAAAAAGGAGAAAGATATTTTTCAATATATACTATTCAATATATATTAGGTCTACCGGAAAGTTCTGTCTGTTTTTGGAATAAAACAAAATACACATTTTTAGTATGATGCCCTTACTATTGAACATCGCCGGCCTCTTTTCTTGGACTGCTGTCCTTAAATTATACAGTTGCTGACAAAACTTTGCAACCGGTAACGAGTTGTTCGCACATATGGAGGTTGCCATTTCCTGTTTTGCTATTTGGTACCTGATAGGATCAAGTGGTGGTCGTTTCTTAAGATAAGTTCTTAGTTGATTAGCCTATCTAGGACTATCAATCCAAAGGATGCTGGATGGACCAGGCGATGTGATGCCAAAGAACAAGGTTCAAAAGAGCATGCGAGGGTTGAGTCCTGAGGAAAAAGGTATAATAAGTTATGTTGATGATTATGTTCAAAAATAGAATGCTTTATTTTGCAATAATTGATATAACTTACATTGTCAACAGACGATATACTAGACTTATAAATTACAGTAATAAATGTCTATAGTAGCTTCATATAGTTGAGCTTAGAGACAGATCAGCTGTTCAGGGAGAAATTACAAGTCAAGCTTAAAGAGAGATAGAATACTCCTTGGACATTTAATTTTAAAGAGTTTTATTTTAAAAGTAGTTTTCTGAAGAAAAAATATTTAGTTTATCGTTCAGAACATTGATCATACGTGCCTAGTATAAAACAAGGCAAAATACTGAATTGCACATGGTAAGTTGAATTAACAGATATTAAAATGGGCTAATCATTAGTTCAGCGTCCAATTGGTTTAGAAGTAGAGTCAAGTAATCACAGCTTGGAAAGAATAAGGATTGAATGCATTGAAAAGAATTGATAAGTAAAATTCCATATAGTGTTAATGGTAGTTGTCAATTAAGAGGGTTTCTTAAGGATAAAAAAGAGCTATCGTTAACAGGATAAATGCAAGTTCGTTGAAAGTCAATTGCAAAGAGATTGGAACAATTAGAATTGGTAATTGGTAGTAACGAGTAATAGTTTAATGGTCATTTAACAAAAGAGAGAATTTTGAATTAATTAAAATACTTACCATGATGTTAGTATGTGCAAGTAACGTAAAAGTCAGTCAGTAGACATACGTGTATTTGAACGTAGGAATTAATTGAATTAACTAGCAGTTGAATGGTAAAAGTTAGTAATTTTAGTATTAATTAACAGAATCCCTTCAGGATGCCGAAACTACGTTCAAGTAAGATAAAGCCTTGGTATTGCATAGGAGATATTATGTCTCGGGATATAAACGTAAAAAAAAGGTGTGATCAATGATAACTATTAATTGCCTATTGTTATAAACAATTGTATTTTACATAAGTAATAAGTGTATTCGTCTCAAGTCTACTTTCGTTTAATTAAAGTAAAGTTTAATTAGGAATAGTAGTTTCAAAGATAGCAGAATAGTCTTTGTCCATATATTTTAGCATTGGAAAATTCCAGAACAAAGCGCTGTAGACAAAGGGCAGCATGTGGGAGCTATTGGCTCCCTGGAACACGAATCAGAGCGCGAGATGTCGGCGCGAGGCGTGACGTTTTTGATGTTCTATATAAAAACTGTACACTGCACACGATGTTGCTCTAAGACATCCGTGTTCACCGGTGTTGTTCTAGTAATCGGAAGATTTCTCATCATCTCCGTTATACCGTTCGTGCAGTGTAGTAAATGTAGTTGTAGTTGTAATGTAGTGTAGTGTAGTGTAGTGTAGTGTAGTGTAGTGTCGTGTAGTGTAGTGTAGTGCAGTGGAGTACAGTGCAGTGCAGTGCAATGCAATGCAGTGTAATATAGTGTAGTGTAATTAGTATCATTCAGTGAAATGGAGAGAAACATTACGAACGAAAAGCATCGTGATCGCTTTGGAAAAGTGTGGCCGTCAAAACGTTCGGCCAAACGAAACGTGGGGTTATCTCGTGCAGCAAGAACAGAAGCACGACCATGGAGCCTAGACTGGAGGAGGTCACACTGTGGGTGCCAATACTGGGTCAAAAATACGGTTGCAGTAGGGTTTCCCGATAATACCGCCTGCGGCGCTTGCAACAGTACTTTCTTGAACAAGGCATGCATACCTATGTTGTATATAAAAATATACGTATATATATTGTAACGATATTCCTACGCGCGAAACTGAGAGACGGTAGCGGGGTTAGGAATCTCGCCACAAATATCCGAGCTCCCACGAGAGAACTAATACGGACGATAGCCGGCGAAAAGTCTTGGGCGCCAGGTATTCTCTAGGAATACCGTCTTCGGGACGACAAGAGATTCCGTAGTTGCCCTCGCGAGAATCCGCTCGACAACACACTAGCTCAGCCTGTTCCCGCGGAACAAAATGATAGAGGGGCTGAGTCTGGGACTAGGTAATATCGAGAGCGAGAAAATAATCAGACGGAGAAGTAACCAAATATAACAAGGTCCTCTTTATTAGGACAGAGATGCACAAAAGTAACAACGGGCGTTTACAGCGGGAATCGCGCGAGAGTTACGTCCCCTAGGTTATCACACGTTTACACTCCCTAGAGGGAGGACAAAATCACGCGACGCTTGAGATACAAAAAAAAATAAAGAAACACAAAATATGCCGACAGTTACGAATATTTAGAGTACAGCCATGTGAGGGGGGTTTTTCCCACAGAATCGCACGATAGCCCTAGCAACAGCGCACAGTGGCGTAGCCGCGGAATTCACGCGACGATAGCCCTGCAGATGAAATACAGACGATAGCACTTAACACTAAGGGAAGCGAGGCAATGGCAATTCACAGTATATCACACAGTCACGATATATGCCTATACGCCACGATATATGCATATACCCTCGATATATGCCGGCAATGGTGATACAAAGTAAAGAAAAGAAAGATATCGGGAGGACCGAATCGAACACTCCCGAGAATGGAATAATTAAGGACAAATAGTTCACAGGTTGTTTCTTAACTAACGAGTAAAGCCAGACAGAAGTAAACGCGTACTATAATATGTCTCGTTACCGAGAAGCGATAACGGCACGTAGGCCTCGTGGCCACACTCCAGGGTCTAGAAAATCACGGATTCGCACGCATAATAAAATTTACAAAATATGGAATTACAATAGAGAAAGAAAATACGATAGATACGGAATTTTCCCGCGTTACACTTGTCTCGAATCGGAAGAATTCGAGAACGGTAGCAAGGGACGATAAGACCCTAGGAAAATTCCACGGTAATCGAACTTCGGAACTCGCCGGTAATAGCGATAATCAAAACGTTTTTACACCACCACGGACTGCCAGCGAGAGAGCGATCTATCGGATAGTCTTACGCTCGGTGGTGAGGTTTTCCCCCACCCTTAATCTAGCGCGTCGGGCCTTCTCCTGAACTCCTTCGCTCTCGCCATAATTCAAACTTAGTATTTGGGACCCTTCTGAACTCGGAATAATGGTAATCGAATCTTTACGATAACATACTATTAATGATTCGGCATTATGATTCTTAATAGACTACGACGACTGTCTCCCCCGGCGAGGTTCTTCGGCTTTGCCTGATGATACGGATGCGGTTACTCCCTCGAGGTGCACGTTTCCCCATCTACGGAGCCGGTTCTCGAGGGTAACTCTTCTCTCCGGGACCTTAGAGTTACGGCAACCTCCTGGCTGTACCGTCGGCAGGATCCACGGGGTCATCCTCCTCGATGCCTTGGCTTTCAGAAGGGTGGAGGCACGTCCTCCCTTAGTCGCAGTAGTCTCGGGATAGCTGGACCCTGGACTCTGTCGGTGGCTATCGCTGTTGTCCCTGCATCCCCGGGAGGGTGTTGTCCCTTCTCCCGTCAGCCACCGTGTATCCGAAGCCTGAGAGGCGCACCGCGGAAATAGAGCGCGTCTGGCCTTTGGCGCATACCGCTAGCTAGGTACGGCTGGGCCGCTGCTCTGATGCCTCTCCTGCCGTCAATCGGCAAGCGATACGATAGCGGGTCCTTTGGTTATTAGAGAGGTTTGGAGGTCCCCTGATGTTGGCGGGGTCTGGGCCCTGTCTTCCCCCTGAGGTTGATTCGGGGTGTCTTTCCCTCGGTTTTGGCTTGGTGTCGGCTCTCCGCTCCGCCCGTGATGGCGTGTTACAAAGAGAGTTAAGATACAAAAGAGTTAGTTTATAAAAGACAAGAAATTATATTAGGACCCATGGAGTGTGTTGCAGTGATGCTGTTTAGAGTGCGTGGCGGTAATGCGTCACGCCTAAAAACGCGAGAGCTAATACTAGAACTCGTGACGGCAAATTTTGCAACGTCACAATATTTATACAGGGTGTTCGTTATGAAACGCACTGTAGTAACATCGTTGCATTCCTTGTCAAATTCTAAAAAATACGTGTATTTTCATTTTTTATTTCATATATCAAAATTTTGAGATAATCAAGGTTGAAGTTGCAGTAATGTGACCAATCAGAACGCGTTTAAACGGAGCGTAGATGACGTCGCGAGCCAGCCCGCAAGACCTGCTTGCACTAGGCCAATAACACTAAGAGTATCGTCGTAGTGTCCCTGTTTATCTGCATGTAATTGAGTAAGATGCAAGAGACGATACTCTTAGTGTTATCGGCCTAGTGTAAGCAGGCCTTGTGGGCTGACTCGCGACGTCATCTACGCTCCGTTTGAACGCGTTCTGATTGGTCGCATTACTGCAACTTCAACCTTGATTATCTTGAAATTTTGACACATGAAATAAAAAATCAAAATACACGTATTCCTTAGAATTTGACAAGGAATGCAACGGTGTTACTACAGTGCGTTTCATAAGGAACACCCTGTATATACACGGAGACTGGCTATATCATTATATATACTCGGCGCCGGCCGCGAAATCCAATAGTTACTTTGAAGGTTAGCAACGTTCATATTAATTTTAATAAAGTATTACGATTACAATTACATTTTCATTATTATTTTTGTAGTTATCGTTTAGACATGAACAATCCGGACGACGTTCCCGTTGTCGATATCTATCCTCCATGAGCGAGATGAAATGGTTTGCTGCTCAGGAGAAATGGTGGGCAGCAAAGCAAGTAAAGGAGAAAGATGCCATAAAAAAGTAATGTTACGCAGTTGAAAAGTATATATGAACAAATGTCGATGCTTACCCTATTGAAATTGTTAATCAACTTTGTGCCTCAACATTTATCTGGAATATTCTTCTGTTTTAGCTTCCAGATTCACGCTCAAATTCCTCACATTATTGATAAGTTAATGAATGATGTATGAACATGGAACGTTGTATTGAAAATATGTTTATTTTGCATATAGCAAGTTGTATTTATACTGTGTCAGATAAACTATAACTATTTCTTTAACATTGCGGCTCCATGCCCAACTCTCTCTCCACTGGCTAGCTGCTAGATCAGTCATCAGATTTTCCATGCTGTATGAAACTAGGGCGTCTGTCACCAGACTTGTCATCTCTTTATCGCTGTCAAAATCACTATTGTCGTGACTGTCTGCGAGACCCCGTGATTTGTAATCGTTGTCTACCGCTTGGCGTGTGCTGACATTATCCCCAGCTTCCGACGTGCTCTCAATTGCCACAGCTTCAGACATAGTGGAACCAGACCATTGGCCAAGCTGTACAAAGAAAACTCAGTATATACCTGATCTATAATTCATGTTCTTCATTCGTTACGAAGAAATATTGGGTGATCTAAAAAGTATTTTCCGATTTATTCATTCAAAGTTAATAAAAAATCGGAAAATACTGTTTAGATCACCCAATAAATCAGTATTATGAGTATTGTAAACTTACGATTTCAGGTGACTGCGGCATTTAACGAATTGCCTCGGCAACTGGGCATGCATCCTTTCATAGCACGTACCTCTCTCGTTCAATAGAAACTACCGTTCCATCAGGCATTGGATGAACGAAGTGCGTAATGATATCCTCAGCAGCAAAGTGATACTGACACACAACATTTTGTGTTAATGGTGTCGTTGCTTCGATTGCAGTCGACCATGCTTCGGCTGCAGCCTACAAAATAAAAATATATTATTAACCGTTATGTACAATATAAGTGAAGCAAGAAATGCTGGGAGAAGACGGAGTTGTTATAGAGGCAAACCACCCAAAACTGGGTGGTTTGGTATTCAACAAGCAAATGAAACATGGAGCAGAAAATTAATAAAATGAAGACCTATAACTGACAGACAGATGCAGTCATCGCAGACCACCGAGATGGACTAATGACAAAAAAAGAAATGTTAACAACTGGATGCTAAAGGGTAGTGACAGAGGATTATGGCGTAACTTAAGAGAGGCCCATATATCTGGCAATGGACAGATATGGCTGGATGATGTTGATGAAAATAATTTAAATTAAGGATGTAATTACCTTTGGGACACCAAATAAATACACTGGCTTTTCTTGAAGCAATTTCCTCTTCTTTATTTCCTCCGGATCTCCTGTGGAGCAGCCTGAAATTGCACACCGCTTGCCCATGTCCACTGATACTATTGAAAATGAATACGACTTTCATTACTACATTTGAACATTAATCTTTTTCATCTATAAAATCTGCTTTGCAATCCTTCGGTAATTGAATATAAAAAAAATTCGGGTTATGTATTGTATTTGCATGCATTCAATCATGATCTTGACACTGTGACGTATAATTCGCGATCGAGCCTCGTCGGGAGATGAGAGACTGACCGGCGCACAACTTACGCGATTCCTTCGCGTTCCAGGCAACCCAGGGCTAACATATCCAATTCAAAATAATACCTCTGGTATTGTTGGGCGCCAAGTTCCAAAACGGGAACCACGTATCACTTCTACGGTTGGTCTTCGCGTGCCTACGTTGGCTAACTCAGCTATGCGGAGGCGGCGGGGATCTTTCAAAGTAAGGACCATTTCAACAAAATAAACACTCCGGCTTTTTGGGTCAACAATAACAAAATCGATCGTTTATTTTGCGCCAATTTCGGATGCGACCACGCGGATATAACAAAATCCAAATTGAACAATTTCGAAATAAATAATGAACCCAATAAGATCGCAACTAAAACATTTCACGCAGTCTAATTCTTACAGTTCGCTCAAATACAAACGTACAATCCGATAAAATTCGATACTTTCGACATTCAATAAATACTTTCATACGATTCGATACTATTCGACATTTTCGACAATCAATATCCAATAAATACTTCCGAACAATTCGCTAACGATTCAGTTACATACAATCTCAATACGGCAACACGTCCCTAACATGAACGCGATACAATAAGATTCGGAGATCTAACACTCAACATTGCCGAGAGAACTTATCATTCGAACACATTCATTCGATTCGATTGACAAACGCGCGATAAATATGTCCACGATGGGCAGCATATTTACGCGAACACAGTCCCTTTCCGGCCGGCGGAATCTCGTACTCAACACTAACGCGATTCTACGAGTGGGAACATCTCCCACGTGCCTACAGGCACAATTCAACGACAAACGTACAAAAACGCGGGGTGTTACGAGATTTCGTCGCTCACAAAACTTCACAAATCGCTTACCGAAATCTCTACGTATCTTCGATTTGGAGAATTGAGCCCGTATACGCGGCCTCGGATGAAGTCCGGATTCTCCACAGCAATTACCCCGGTAACAAACGGTTCCAAAAATACGACTCGCGTCGTCGACGGTCCAAGCAAGAAGAAGGAAGTTGCCTTCTCTTTCGATCGTAATCAGGAGCACCGGAGAGTATCAACCTCTCCCTTATGCGCAACCACCGCTGATTGGTCCTACGGCCCCAATCAGAAATCTCCGATCTGACACCACGCGCTACAATTCAAAATCCGTCTTCGCGACAATTCATACGATTCGGGAACAGTGATTACGGGCTGTCCCGCGATGGTTTCTGTCGTCCCCTAGGACTTCGCAACGGTTCACCAGGCGTCCCCGGATTCCCAGCTACTAGAGCCATGTTTTAGGCCCGTTTTTTCAGCATTCCGCCATTGAAGTTTGGTCTCTTCCTGTCTAGGCTCCATAAACATGATTAAGGCGAATTGGCAGAATATCGAACATCAGTGATTCAATACGACCTGATGTGACGGTGGGATATACATGCAATTCCTTGGTAGAGTTGGATAGTGAAGAAGACACAATGCGACTACCATCGACGTCAAACGCCATGACTTTTGCCGAGGATATATTCATCGATCGCGGAAACGAGTGGTCGCGACCTGGTATTGACTGAGACACATAGATACGGACTAAAGACTCAATTTCAATTCCAGTCTCGCATGTGCCATTTCAAGAGTAGTGTCTGAACAGATCCCCCCGACGACTCCGGTCTGGATGTTCACACAGTCGCTGCTGCCGGATGCATCACCGCAGGCATCGGTAGTGCGCATTTAAAGCAGGTGCTGTCGGCGATGGCTGTGCAGTCTCCATCCAGCAAAATGTTACAACAGTATGCAGAAATAGTCGGCGATGGATTCGCAAAAGCCGCAGCAGAAGATATGACAGCGGCTGCGGAGGAGGAAATGAATCTTGCAGTTGCCTGAGGTGATGTCACCGAAGATGGAATCGCGATGATTCCAGTGGTCGCCGACGGGAGCTGGATGACTCGGTCATACAAGAAGTACAATTTCCTCGCAGGTGTTGGAGCTATCGTGGGCTACCATACGAGAAAGGTTTTCTTCATTGGCGTGAGGAACAAATATTATGCGTTATGTGCGTACGCCGATGCTAAGGGCGTGGAGCCCCGAAATCATACATGTTTTAAGAACTGGGGAAGTAATAAGAGCTCTACAAGCATGGAAAGTGACACCATCACGGAAGGATTCTGGAGCAGCATTGAAATGCACAATCTTATGTACACGGAACTCATTGCTGATGGAGACAGCAGTGTGTACAAAAAGATTCTGAATATGAATCCGTAGGAAAACGTGCAAGTGAAGAAGATGGAATGCACGAATCACTTACTTCGCAATCTATGTAATAAAGTACAAGAGTCCACAAAGGGAAAGGGACGCATAGGTAATTGGAGAACCATCATCGAAGGCAAAGTCATGAAATTTAGAACTGCTGTCGTAAAAGCTGTAAAATATCGCAACGAAGAAAAAACGGAAACGCAGCAAAAAAAATATGACCTACGATGCCACATCTTAAATATTCCGCATCATATATTCGGAGATCATGAAAACTGTCTCCTCTTTCTGCAGCGGAGTGCTGAAGTCCGACGAGATGAATCAAGTTCCCGAATTGAAACGCATGGGATTATTCAACCGGTTCGAAGAAATCGTAATTCAGCTGAGCCACCATACCGATAGCCTACTGCGGAATGTTACGAGCAACATGGCTGAAAGCTACAATTCCGTAATTTGCAAGTTCATCGGTGGCAAACGAATCCACTTCGCCAAACGTGGCTCCTACAACGCAAGATGTTCCGGGAGCTGTTGTTCAGCACAACACGGGCCGAAGTTTATCAGCAGTCACTACTGCTTTGAAGAAGATACCATCGATGACTGCACTCAACCTGGAAAATCAGCGGCGGCATGCGCAGGAGACGAAGAGACATTGAGCAACAAAGCGTCAAAGCGCAAATGAGCCCAAGGACAGTGGGCCAGCAAAAAAAACGACACTGCGGAGCTGATAAGGATTATGACCCACAAAGGTCGCAGCCATATTTGCCAGAAGACGAATTTCAGCAAGCCAAGGAAGAGCATTACAGTCGTCTTCGGGAACTGCAACAGGATGGGGCCGAGCTGGACCGTTCGACGACCGAACAGCACGAACGGAACGATGGAACGTGTTGCGAAGGAAGCTACTGACAGCTTCTCACATCAAAGCTGTGTGCCGACGCAGACCCACGTCGCTGTGCAAAGCGCTTGTGAAGACCATCCTGTATAACGAGGGAGTTAGCACCGGCAATGCTATACGGACAGACTTCGAAAATAAAAGCCCGCAAGCAATTCGAGGAACAGATGGGTCACATTATCTAGGATTGCGGATTATTTATAGATAAATCTATCTGTTTTCTAGGTGCCACTCCAGATGGTCTCATTAGCGACGATGGGATCGTAGAGATCAAGTGCCCGTTCTCCATCAGAGATAAGACGTCGGATGAAGGAATCGCAGCAAATGTACCAGCCGTGGCGGGGATCTTCAACAAAGATGGATCCCTGAACAAACGCCGCAAATTCTATTACCAGATCCAAGGGTAGCTCCACATAAGTCAACGACAGTATTGCTACTTCGTGTTGTGGACGCCTCATGGAATCAAGGTAACTACTGTCCATGCAGACGATAAATTTTTGATAGATAACATGCTGCCTCATCTAACCAAATTTTACGAGAATTCCTTACTGCACGAAATAATTGACAGCAGGTACAACAGAAATATGGTTATTCGCGAACCCGATTATATCGTGGAGCTTGCAAAACAAAGTGATTGTGTTAAGGAGGTTCGATAGTATCTTATATTAAAATTATTTTCCAACTTTTTAAAATGAAATTTGGCACACAGCATGAGAAATATGATACGCGACTTGCATTGAAATTCGCGACACACAAAAGAATTTGGGCACTTCGATCTAAAATAAAAAGGTTCGGTTTATTAGAGAAAATTGGCGGTGCGAAGCGCGACGATTTCGTACAGGACCGAAGTTATTATTTACAAAAGAAATAGTAATTAAAAATAAATCAAAAGACGAAACAGAAGTACAATCAGAAAGATATTACAGAGTACTTCGCGCACCGTACGAATTCAATTCAAAATCGTAACGTGGCGAATCCGCGTTTACAATACTACGATAGCCGACCGTCAAAGACCTGTACGCGTTTTACGCGCCACAAAATCAATAGTATAATTTCCTTGCGGACGGAACAACACGAAACAATTCGGAGGAACGTAAAAAATTCTAATCCAAAAATAAGATCAAACAAAAGTTCTAAACAGTGAACCCTGCCGGTCGACGGACGATCTTGCCGTGGTCTTATTCGAGATGAGGGATTGTCCCTCCGCGTGTTCGTTAGACGCGTAGTCGAAAATCACGAAACAAACAAAACTCCGGTACCAGGATTTGCACGAAGTTACGTCGCTCAGAAAACGTCAGATATCCTCGCTTACCGTGTTGTTCCCTGGTCGCGTAATCCCAGAAAACCAATCGTCGGCCCAATGGCAGTTTGTGCACTCGCGTACTCATAAACCAAATACAACAAAACGTCTTACGTCGTCGCGTGTCCAAGCAGGAATTTCTCGATCTTCACGCGCTTTGTCTTCGTGTGAAGGATAGCACCCCCTCCCTTTAGCCTAATGGGCGCCGATTCACCCTGCGGACGAATCCTTCAACCCAAAGTCTTCGCCACGCGCCAGTTTCAAATATGTCATCGCGACAATTAATAATTTCCATAATCTCTCGTAGACAATTCATACCAGATTGGGTCCTACGACGAGTAACATTCATTTTCGCGCGAGGGTGCACCAGGCGTCCCTGGATTCCCAACTCGCGGAAATATAATTATGCGCAACTGACGATAGGCGCTAAGCCATAGGGGTCGGTAGTGGTGTTCAGTCGTGTGGCGCTGTGTGTGCAACACACTGTGTGCCTACATAACGCACGACCGAAACGATTACGCGTAGCGTGGACTGGATACTAATAATTTACATGCATTTTCTTCAAACATGCTCTACGAATAAACAAACACAAAACTAAAAACTAAACTTTGATACGAGATAACGGATCCTCCAGATCGCCACCGAATTGGCCAACATCGGATCTCAACGATCGTGTAAGCGGAAGGCGACGCTCGCTGTCTGGACCAAAGATCCAGCAGCTAAATCTATGGTCCAGTTAATCTCGATCAAGTACAAAATCATGTAGCTCGGTAGCGTCACTCACCCCGAATAGCCCTTTCCAATTCATCCAAGTCCTCTCGATCCATCTCTTTCTTTCTTCTTTACACTGCTTTCACTCTCACTCTATACTTTTCTATCTACACTTTCTCTTACTCTCTCTATACTTTTCTCTTACTCTCTCTATACTTTTCTATCTACTTTTGGCACACGCACCGTACAAGTCGTCACCAACACCGCAAGTGACGCTACCCGATCGCTCGCCCGCTAACGTACCCTAGTGGCGCGAAGGAATATTACCCTTGGGCCCAATCAAATTAGCGCTAGCCCCTATGCGGCCCAATTCGCCCGCGATGTTTAATTGTCTCCGGGATCCTAGAAAAATAGATCTGCGCATCTTCTCCTCTTCTGGGCGATTGCAGTGTATTTTCTTGGGGCGGGAATCTCATCTGCACCCTATCCCCCGTAGTACGGCTCCAGGCCGCCACTGCAACCCCCTGATGCTGCCAGAATCTTGGATCTTCTCGCGGCGTCCTTCCGCGTAGGTGGCCTTGCTCAGTAGTGCTCTGCGGTCGCGCTGGCCCTCCTCCTGCTGGCTACGTCACGCCAGTGCTGCTGATCGCATTGGCCGGGTCCCTTTGCTGTAGTCAGGGCCGTCGCTGGTGTTCCACGGGCCTCGTTACTTCTACTTTTTCTCTGATTGGGTCCCTTATGGGACCGACCACCGCTAGTAACATACAAAATACTGACCCCGAAGGGAATTATTAAATATTCTACACGCTGAATTCAGTCCACGTTCGACGTAAATGTTAGGTTGCCTCGCGGACCTCACAGTGTAGCTCTTATATCGCCTTTTCCCTCTCTCTTTTGTGACGTGCACAAAATGCCACGTCACAATATATATATATGTTACATATACATATATTTGGTGGATTGCATGACGCTCCACACCACTCGCAAATTTTTTTCACATTCACACGCGTACACGTTCTTGTGTGCGTGTCAAAAATGCGACGCTGACGCATATTTTTTTTTTATAAAACTACTGAAGGCGTTGATATATTATCCTAATCAAATTTTTTCTTTTTTATGCTGAAGAACCTTAAGAATATGTACGTATTAACTGTTGAAAATCGAAATAATTTTATTAATCGCAATTTTTCATGGAGTAACGAAAAAAAAATAGACGTTGTTTTCACTAGCAAGTTACTGTCGAACCTCCTTAATGCGAACCTGTCACCTCTTTCTTTCGAGGCGGTCAAACAATTGAAATGGTCATAACAATCTCGTACAATATTGGTTTTGAGAAGCTCGTCTGCATTGGAACTCGTTCTGAAAAGTGGTTGAGAACAGCTGACCCATCTCCCGCAAAATGGCGGTAGAGATAATTTCTAGTCTGAATTCAGTACGATGGGGACTTCCTCTCACCTTCAGCATGCGAGTTGAAGAGATGAATATAACAGTCTCTCGTATTGATTATCGTAGATAGCAACAATTATTGAAATAATTTATTATCTGTAATGTTTATTTATTAATGTTATTATTTATATTATTTTATTTATTCGATCTCCTGTAAACATGAACGGTAGAGATCTAATTATCCATCTCCCGCGAAATGACAGTAGAGATAAGTTCTAGTCTGAGTTCAGCGCGATGGAGACTTCCTCTCACTTTTAGCATGCCAGGTGAAGAGATGAATTTAACAGTCTCTCGCATTGATTATCGTAGATAGCAACAAATATTGAAATAATTTATTATCTGTAACGTTTATTTATTAATGTTATTATATTGTTACGTCTCAGCCCTCCAATATACGATATTAGTTAACCCATACATATACACAGCCACTTATACCCATGGCCAACCATATTATTATTGTTATACCCTAACCTATACAGACATTATACACATACATATGTCGATTAATCGTTTGATATAATTAATTTTATTGATTTATACTTATAAGTTTATACTTTTGTCTTGTTTTATATTCCGTTATATTATTGGAATCTTTAATTACGTTATCACTTATTTGACCGGAAAAATGTTACGCTTATTATTTCTATCAGGTATTATGTTCTTAAGGAATTTGTCATACCAATCCTTTATTATGTCTTGGAATAAAAGATAAACCTGAAGCTCCTCGAGACTAGCAGTACTCGCGAGGTTTCAGGTACAGAATTGGAAGACTCAGGTATGCAACAACAGACAGATAATTGTTAGTACTCTGATTTGTTAAATGATCATTGAGAAAGGGAATTAAAGACCAATCAGATTCATGAGAAGTAATAGAAGGGATAAGAATCAAAGTCATTAAAAGGGGTTGAAGAGCCCAAAAAGTCAGAGTTCGAGTGCCAGTCAGAGTTCCAGTTGGAGTTCTAGCTCCTGTTCTGAGGTAGAAGTGTGAAGTTGTGAAGTACATCAGAAGTCTTGTAAAAGAAGTGCAAAGTAAAAGTCAAAGTTAGAGTCGAAGTCTAGAGTTCTAAGAACTTATATTCTCTTCAATTCAATTCTTCGAAGTTATCCAAAAGTAAAGCATACCTGGTGACTCTAATCTGCGAATTTCGTGAACCATCATCATCACTATCATTTACAAAACCCTGACTACAATCTCATCTGGACTGAGGGTCCATCCAAACCACCTCATTGAATCTTCATACTTCCAAGGAGGGGTTCCAGTTCCAGTTGGAGTTCTAGTTCCTGTTCAGCGGTAGAAGTGTGGAGTTGTGAAGTACATCAAGAAGTCTTGTAAAAGAAGTGCAAAGTAAAAGTCAAAGTTAGAGTCGAAGTCTAGAGTTCTAAGAACTTATATTCTCTTCAATTCAATTCTTCGAAGTTATCCAAAAGTAAAGCATACCTGGTGACTCTAATCTGCGAATTTCGTGAACCATCATCATCACTATCATTTACAAAACCCTGACTACAATCTCATCTGGACTGAGGGTCCATCCAAACCACCTCATTGAATCTTCATACTTCCAAGGAAAGCAATAAAAGGAAACTGTTGAGTTCCCTGGAAATCATTGGGTAAGCCTATGAGTGCATCACTACCATTTACAAAACCCTGATTACAATCTCATCTAGACTGAGGGTCCATCCAAACGGGATAAGAATCAAAGTCATTAAAAGGGGTTGGAGAGCCTAAAAAGTCAGTTTTCCAGTCAGAGTTCGAGTGCCAGTCAGAGTTCCAGTTGGAGTTCTAGCTCCTGTTCTGCGGTAGAAGTGTGAAGTTGTGAAGTACATCAGAAGTCTTGTAAAAGAAGTGCAAAGTTAGAGTCAAAGTCTAGAGTTCTAAGAACTTATATTCTTTTCAATTCAGTCTTCGAAGTTATCCAAAAGTAAAGCATACCTGGTGACTCTAATCTGCGA